ACACAGCAAGGGCCAATGAATGTTTACGGAGCAAACATGGGGAGGGGGGCGCACCTGGACAGGCCCACGTCCTTCCCGCCAGACGGAAGAGGTCCCTTATCTTTGCGGTTGACCGGTTGTCAGTGCGCCAAAGGATAGGAGGAAGGGGGCCCACACTCATCTTCTTCGCGTCTGTCAGCGGCCTCGCAGCACCCTCCTCTCCATCCCCAGAGGGAATGACCTGCCATCCTCTCTCTCTGCAGTCTCTCTCTCTCTCCACTCTCTCTCCACTGCCCGGGCATCCCTCGCGTTCGCTCAGGGCTGCACTCTGCTCGCTGAGCTTTGCGTCTTTTACGGATCGCTAGCGCCCTCTGGTGCCAGTCGGGGGTCGTGGTGCTTGAGGGGAAGCCAGGGCTCAGCAACAGGTAGTTCACCACCCACAGCACGTTTCTATTTCACAATGGAACAGAGGCTGTCTGCGGGAGGTGAGCATTCTGTCTATGCCTAGGCTGGTGGCCTTGTGTGGTGTTACTGGGACTCCTTGGTCGTCTTTGGCTGGACGGCAGGACACGGGCTGCACACATGGCTTAACCTCTCTAAATGCACCTTTGTGCCTTGTGTTAGACGAGCTGAGGCTGGGAATCTCAGTTTGAAGGAGGCCTTGGATAAGAATGAAGGTCACAGGAGAGAGGGCAGACCCACTGTGATGGGCAAAGGTGTGGTGGGGCTGAAGTCTTGGAAGCCCAAGGGGTGGACAGGCAGCGGTCACCTCTGACTTCTGCGTTCTAGAGGGAGTTGCCTGGCACCAGCCAGCCCCTGGGCTCGTGGGTATGTAGCTGTGCTATATAGGCTTTTGAGAGAAGTCCTGTGGCTTATGCTCATCTGGGAGGAGTCCCAGACAACAGAGGGGACAAGTTGGTGGCCGGGGAGGAGACTCCAGGGCAGGTGTGTTGTCTCTGAAGTGGATGACAATGCTGGAGGCTGGGTTGAGGAGGAGTAGTGTGCATTCAGGAGCACTGAGCTGGGACCATCCACTTCCCCACACTCTGGGAGGCTGAGGCCCCAGGCTAAGCACGTGGCAGGTCAGCTTAGGGTCAGGAGCTAGAGTTGGAGAGATTCCCTGCCCACCAGGAGGGCCAGCCATCGAAGCCAGACTGGTGTCTTGGACCAGACAGTCGCGGCCATGAGGGTCTAGCAAGATTGGTCTCCTGGAGGAACTATGGGTACAGTTGCCCCATTAACCAGTGAAGCAAGAAGTCTACCCTCCTGTCTGGACACACTGTGATGCCATGCTTATTTCTTCATCAGCAGAGCCCTTGCTTTTGTGGCCCATGTCCTTCAGGGTTCCCAAGCCCATCCTCTTAGTGAGACACTGGTCCTGGAGCCATCAAGCCCTGAGAGCACTGCTCACTGAGCCTGAGCTCCTCCCTACAGCTCCTGCTAGGGTTCTTTCCACAGCCCAGGGTTACACCCTGCTCTTAGCTTGGGAGCGCTTTGGGACCTCTGGTCACTTTTTCCTAGGTTCCAAAACTACCCCTTAAAGGTCCTCAGTGAGGAGGAGAATGCGGGGCTCAGGAAGCTTGTCTCAGGTCTGCTCCATTACCACCACAGAGAGGGACGGAAGCACACAAGGTCCTCCCTGAAGATCTGGTTTGCTTTTCTGAAAAGCAGAGGGAAAGCCCCTCCCCACGTTGTGTTCAGCTGACTTGAAGGTGTTATCTGTGTGCCTCAAGTGGGGGTTCTTGGGGTGACAGGCCACCCCTGGGGAGGGTGAACAAAGAGGACCACTGTCCCTGATGCACTGACAAGGCCGGATGGACAAACGCACAGTTTGTGCAGCCCACAATGGGCCGGATGCCCTGCACCTGCCCACAAAGGAGGGGGTGGCTTGTGCCTCACGTCTGACTGGCAGCCTCTAGATAGCATCAGCCTACTGGAGGGTCATCTGTCTTGTCCCACAAAGGCCAGGACAAAGGCCATGTCAGCCACAGCCTCCCCGACCTGGTCAGTGGTGGTCAGAGGAGGCTCAAGGCTCTTCATCAGGATCTCCAGGGACAAAAGCTTCCATTATTTATAGAGGCAATCGGGTGAGACCTGCACTGAATGCAGGAGCCTGGTGCCCACAGGCTGGCTTCAACAGTGGGGAAGGTGCCATTCTGCTCACCTGGGCACCCAGAGAGCAACCAGAGTGCCTAGTTTCACAGCTCCAGCATGGGAGGCAGACAATAGGAAACTGGGAACTGGAGACTCCCTGTCCGGAGCAGCCAGTCCCTGCTGGGGCGGCAGAAAGTGAACCAGGGCAAGAACAGCCTCTGCAAAGGCAGCTGCGGAGACTGGGGACGGGGGTGGGTGGGTGGGGGGTGGGGGGGAGTGGGTGGTAATGCGTGGTGGCTGTGCTGTCAGGGAGGGCTCCTGTGAGGAGGGCTGAGAATACTGCTGCTATGGGCTGGTGAATGGCACTGGAGGATCTGGGGACACTTGGAGGGTTCAGGGTTGTGGCAGGAAGCCGGGCTCACTTCAGGTCTTGTATCAGAGACTCTGGCTAAACTTATACCCGGAGGCCCTTATGTCATGTCTCCGTCACCTGGCCTTGCTGAAATGACCCATGGAGTCGTTGGACCCACTGGACCACAGACCACAGCCACCTGTCTTCGAGTTAGCCCAACCTCCATCTGTCTTTGGGTGCTCTGAAAGCTGTCCATTCAGCAGGGTCACACCCCAACTCCTGAGCTGTTCCCAAGAGCGACCCCTCTGACATGAAGCACAAAGTTTCAAGCTTCCTAAGTGCCAGAGGGACCTCTCTGTTCACAGCATTCTCACTGCGAATGGCTTCGAGGACAGCCGGGTACAGGGAATACAATCCATTGACTCCTGTTGCCCTGGCCAGCTTGGCAGTGCGTGAAGAAGTGGTTATATCCCTTTGGAACAACATCCCCCAGGCCCTTTCTGGGATTTGGCATGGTCAGGTGGTTACAGAAACCGCCAGATGAGGAGAAAGGTTTATTCAGTGCGGGAGTCTGGCAGGTGGAGACTGCTGAATGTCGAGTTGGACCGCTCTGCCTCCCTAGGCTCTGAAGACTAAGGTAGTCTTCACTCTGGAAGTGCTGGCAGCACGTAGCCAACCCCACGGTGGATTCACCACCTGCTGGGTCTGGGAGACTGGGAAAGGGTAGAGGCCAAGGTCAATCCAGGTGAAGGCGAGGGTCCGCCTGCAGGGACCTGGGAAGTTTGCAGGCCGTTGTTGTTCAGCGCCTGTCCTTTCTCAGGAGGCACTGCTTCCGACCCGCTCGGCCACCAGCGGGGCTGTGAGCGACAACTCGCGGATGGCGCGTGCACGCGCGCGCGTGCGCAGCCTCCGCAGGCGACCCAGCAGGACCGCCAGCAGCAGCGCGTGGAGGAGCCCGAGGACCAGCAGCGCGAGCTGCGCCACCAGAGCTCCCCAGCAGAGCAGGCCGGGCGCGCAGGCGGCCCTCAGCTCTTCCTCCGCCACGTAGGGGAGCAAGCGGCCGCTCAGCGCCGGGGGCGCGACACAGCGCAGGTCGCGGTAGGGCGCGCGCTCCGGGCGGCCGGCCAGCCAGGCGCGCAGCGGCAACAAGCGGCAGTCGCAGCGCCAGGGGTTGGCGCCCAGGTGCACCGTGTGCAGCGCCGGCAGAGCATCCAGAAGCCCGGGAGGCAGCGCCGTCAGGTTGTTGTTGGTCAGCACCAGTTCGGTGGTGTCGGAGGGGAAGGTGGCCGGCAGCGAGGCCCAGGTCAGCCCACGGCGCCCACAGTCCACGAGCGTCCCCGAGCAGCTGCAGGGCGCGGGGCAGCCAGCGGTTGGGAGGCTGGGTGGCGCTAGCAGCAGAAGCAACAGGCTCAGCGCCTCGCGCGGCCCTGGAAGAGAAGCGCTAGGGTGAGCGGGGAGCATCACCGGGAGCGCCGGAGCAGCTCCCCCCCACCCCCACCCCGCACCGCCGGCATCTCGCACGTCCCTCCACCCCGGCCACCCTCCACGCTGTCTGGGGTTTCCCTCCAAGTCTGAGCCAAGCCTTTGCCTATTGCTACCCAAACTAGAACACTTGACGTGGCTTTCTGTCCAGAAAGCTGCAGACCCGACCCCAGAACTCACAGGAGCCCATGGCGAGAGGATGGCGGCCCAGTTCGTTTTGGAGTGGCGTTGGCCCGAGAGCCTGCAGCAGCAGACCACAGTTCTGCCGCCTGGCTAGAAATAACTCCGAGCCGGCGCGCAAGGGCGTTGCGGGCGGCAGATAGGGTACTATCGCCGGGGCCCGCAGGCAGCCCGGGTTTCCGCCCCCGCCCGTTCACAGGGGCTCATGGAACACTCGGACACCAACTTTGCGACGTTCACCAACTTTGTTCTCCTGTCACCAGGACAGGACGCGGCATTCACAACGGAACAAAACGGAACATGTGTGGGGAGGGATCATGCGGGCGGCGAGATGGAGGAGGCCAAGGGCTGGGACCGCAGCACAACAGAGCCGCTAGGAAGAGGAGACCTTGACCTATGGGTGGATGAAAGTAGTCTAGTCACAGGGGACAACCCGTCCTGCTGCCCTGGAGTCCTTCAGGTCGATCAGGAAGGGGCACAAGAGGTGCCTTGCAGGACACCTTCCTCCCAGAAGCCTCTAGGTCTGGGTCTTCTTAAAGGCCTCAGCCTCCAAACCCCATGGGCTCTGGTCCTGAACAGAGCGTGGTTAGGGTGTAAGGGAGGATCCGGCCTACTTCCGCACACAGGACATTGGCATCTGCTTCTTAGCCGGCTGGAACCGGCAGAGGGGGCCTCCCAACTCCGCTCCCGCAGCACCAGCTTGGGAAATGGGCCTGAGATCCTGCATCCATGTCCCTCCTCTACCCTGGCTTGTTGGCCGTTGGGGTCAGTGATCTTCTAGGAAGGGAGATCTTGGAGGTTGTGCACAACTTGTTCCCTTTAGACAGGAGGTGCGGGGGTGGGCTAGGGCCAGGAGGTTGGGGAGGGGCTGTGGTTCAGACCACTCGGAAGCAGATACAAATGACCGGGAGGGTTGGATGCTGAGAATAAATTAGGGTCATCTGGGGGCGGTGGCTCTGTGGCTCCAGGCCTGAACAGTCTGGTCAAAGCCACTTTGGATTAGGGTTAGGTCCAGGCTGTCTGGGATCCAGGGGTAGGAGGGGCCAGCGCGGAAACTGGCCATCTATCCTTGGCGATTGTGGGGCTGGGGCGGGGTGTCACTGGTCTTGCATTTGCTGCTTCATCTTCTGCAACATCTCTTGCATGCGCCTTAGCTGGTGGGTGGAGACGACCCAAATCAGAGTAAGAGAAGGTAGGGGAGGTCTAGCCCCGCCCTCCGCCTCGCCTCCCTACACCTCCCTGCGCAATCTTGGCCCCACTCTCCGCCTACCTCTTCATCCTTCATCCTGATGAGCTTCTCCGTCTCCGCGTCAGGGGTGGGGAGGGGGAGTATAGGGATGGGACTCTCCATGCGGCTGTCCTGTGTGAGTTTGCTGTGGAATGGGAAGGCTGCGCTGATGCGGGGTTCCGGTTAGGAAGGTGGGAGAGGCCTAGCCGGCTTCTGCCAGTATCAACCCCCGCTGGGATGATCTGGGGACTGGGACAAAGGTCAAGTGTACGTCGGGTTCCGTGGCGCCGGGAGCAGGGTGGGCGCGCCGGCTCCGGCGGGAGAGGCCTACCTGGTCATCTGCTGGATGCAGTGGGCGCGGTAGTTCTCGTAATGCACGTCACACGTCACGTCCTTGAGGTCGTGCATGTGAGTGCGGATGAGCATGTTGCGAAGCTTCACAAAATCGCAGTGCGCCTGATTCTCCACTGTGGGGCAGGAGCCGACAATGAGTAGGCCTCAGCCGAGGGGAGCTTCCCACCGGCACCAGGTGCCTCCCCCCCTCCCCCCCCCGCCCCGCCGCATCTCACCTTCGACGATCCCCCAAGGATATAGCCGTCCCCGGACGCGCTGCCCCTTGGCCTCCACCACAGTGTTGCTGCCGATAACAGCGAAGGGCGCACTTTCCTGGGGAAGGAGAGCAAGGACCCAACCCAGCCCAGTCTGTAAGAGCGCAGGCGCAGAGGCTGAGGGGGCGTGGTTACTCCGGCACTGCCATCATCCCCGTCCTCTGGCGTGGCCCCTCTTTTGGTGACTTTGCAACCCACTAAAGCCACAAAGCCTGCATAGCTTAAAGCCCTGGGGCTTCTGCCAGGCTGTGCACTTCTCTGGCTCTGGATGCTTCCCAGAACTTCCTCCACGTTTCAAGTCAGCCAAGAGCACGCTTACTGGTGCTGACTGGTGGATGGCCCTGCCCATCTGCTTCTGGTGCAGTGGCCCCTAGTTCCTGGCTTAGCTCTCTGTCACCACCTCACCAGCTTCTGGGGTATTCAAAGCCACTCTGGAGCTCAGAATCTTGGGAACTAGGGCTTGGCACATCTCTGGGCCACTGGGCTGATCAGAATGCAGGTCAGAATGGTACCAGTAAGGACTCTAGTAAGCACCCAGGGGAGGTTCAAATGAGCCACCGCAGACTAGACGTGGATACAACTGACCCTTATAGCCCTTGTGACAGGGCACAGTGCCTCTACTCTGGGAACAAAAGACTCCTGCCCTCATTACGTTGGACCTGGGTGCTCAGGCCTCTCCCACAGAGTGCTCTGCCCCATTGCCTCCTTGCCCTCACCCCTCCTGGCTACACGCTCACCTTCAGTTCCCGGTCCTGCTGCTTGAAGTCTTCGTCTTCGTCGGAGTCACATTCTGGAAACTGGTACACATGGATCCCAAACTTGTCAATCTCTTCCCGTATCTGCAGCAATGGGGCAAGAGCTTGACTCCGGCACTGGCCAGCAACCCTGGAGGTTTTGGCCAGGCCCCCTCTTAGTGACAGAAGACGCACCCTGTCCTTCAGCTTCCGGATCTCACTGGGGACCAGGCAGTCAGCTTTGGCGATGAGTGGGACGATGTTCACCTTCTCGTGCAGAGCCTTCATGAAACCCACATCCACTGGCCTCAACCTGCCAGGCACAGGGGTAGGATGGGCACTGTTGGGAGGCAGTGGTGCAACGAGAGGAACACCCACCAGAGCCGGGCATGGCTACACACCCGTGCCCAAAGGGAGAGATGAAGTACAGGCAGCAGTGCACCCGGTTGTCTTGGATGTTCTTGCGGTTGAGGCCACTCTCGTCACGGAAATACTGCTCAAACTGCTGGTCCACGTAGTCAGTGATGGGCTTCCAACTACAGGCGGAGGAAGAATGAAGCCCGCTCTAAGAGCTGCCTGCTACGTTGTGCTGGCTGGGGGCAGGGGACCCCTCACCACTCAGTGCTCCTCACCACTCAGAGTTGTTCACGGCATCCCCGAAGCCCGGTGTGTCCACAATGGTGAGCTTCAGCTTGACTCCCTTCTCCTCAATGTCGACTGTGTGCTTCAGGATCTCTACGGTCTGGTTGATGCGTTCTGCAGAAGGAGGGAGGGAGGCAGTGTTTGCAGGCCAGCAAGAAGCCAGCAAGAAGCCTTGTCCTCACCCACCCCGGCACCTTGGCTGTCTCACTATATATTCTGGGTCACTCCTTCCCACCCCCAAACAGGGACCCCTGCCTCAGGCAGAGTGTAAGGATGCCCTCTGAGGTTTATCAGGGCAAGGGTGAGGACTGTATGGAAGCTACTCACCCTCAGCACTCAGCAGCTTCCGGTCCTTATACAGGTCAGTCAGAAAGAGGCTATGAACAAGGGTAGACTTCCCCAGGCCGGACTCACCTGGCCACGGGGAACAGAGAAGAGCTGGGTTAGATTTGGGCTGAGATGGTCTGACCCGTGGCCTCAGAGGTTCGGCCCCTCACCTGCCACCATGAGGGTGAAGTCAAAGCCCTTCTTCACTGACTTGCGGTGCACCTGGTTGGGTAGCGTGGCGAAGCCAACGTACTGCTTGTCGATGTCCTAAGGGCAGGGGTGTTTGCGGCAGGTCAGGAGCACAGCCTTGCTCTCCAGTGACAGCCCGAGGCCCTACCTCTCATGTGGCTCCGGCGGGCGAGCACATAGTGCAGCCCTTAGGAAGGGGCATGTCATCGACAAAGACGGGGTGAGTGCTGGAGGGCAAACGCCAGCAGGAGGAAGGTAGGTGAGGGGGTGGCCGGAAAAGGCACCCTGCCCCAGCCTCAGCGAGGCCCAAGATGGGGGTGGGAAATGAGTTACACCAGCCCCACAGGAGTCCCCCGAGGGTGGGTGGTGGGAATCAGTACCAAGACCCCTCAGACACATTAAGGACCTCCATAGGTGGAAGCAGGCAGACCTCAGCACAAACTCATCCTCAGAGTATCCAGGGGTGGGCGACTTGTCTGGCCCAGATCCAAGCTTGGGGGTGGTGATTCCAGAAGCAGCATCCGAGCAAGGGCTATTTATAGGCTGCTGTACCGAGCCTCCCCCGCCGAAGGGTCTGCGTGGCCTGCACCCATCCTCTAGTGGACATCTGCCCCGAGAGCCCCTGCCGCCTTCCCTGGTAGCTGGAGGGTCCTGACCAAACAAGCATGCACACATGACCCACATTCCACCCTATCTACACGCGCGCGCACACACACAGACACACACACACACACCTTGAGCCGCCTCTGGGCCTGGGTGCGGGGAGACAGCAGCTGCTCCACCAGGCGGTCCTGGGGTGCTGCCAGTGTGTCCATCGCGGCGACCCTGCCCGCCTCGTTCGGACCCTACACCGGGGGCAGGCCAGTCGGGGCCAGCGATCTGGAGCTGGGTAAATTTGCTCTTAAGCCCTCTTCTGGCTCGGGTTTTGAAACCCCGAGAACTGGGGCCCAGAGAAGGAGCGTCGCCCACCTAGTAGGCCCCTGACCTCGGAAACCGTGCGAGCCATTCCCTTGCCTCTGCGCGGGAGCCGCGAGCTGTGGCCGCGTGGAGCCTCAGCAGCGGCTCGCGCACTGGAACTCGGGGCGGGGCTTCGCCCCTCCACCCCCGGCAGTGGCGGTGGGGACCGCCCCGACCGCCGTAGCCGGGAAACGGTCGCCTGGAAATTGGGCCGCGGGTGGAGCCTCGAGAAAACAGCTGCGATGGGCAGGGCCCAGCAGAGGCGCGCGGGCGGGGGCGCCGCGTGTACCCGGAGCGCAGCCGTGGCACCGGAGGCCGGGTCCTGACCGTCCGCAGGCGGGCGGCGAGGTGTCCGCGGTCGCCGATCTGCCTCCAGGGCGCCGTGCGGCTGCCGCCCACCAGAGGGCGCTGCAGACCGCTCCGGACCCACCCGCAACCGCGAAGGAACCGGGCCCCAGCCAACACCTTACTCTTCTCGCACCTCACCCGAACCCTCACCCCCAACCGTGCCATAGCGAACAAACTACCTCTACACACCCCTCCCCACTCCTTGGGGTTCGCTCTTCTTTACACCCCCCTCTACCCAGCGTGTGCAAGTGCCGTGGTTGGGGGAATTCTTTCCCTGCGTGACGTCTTCATACGTCCTGAGGTCAGAGTACATCTTCCTTTTTAAGTCTTGCCATGGGCGAGGGGCCCAGGCAGAGTGGCACACGTTTTTAATCCCAGCACTTGGGAGGCAAGGGCAGGCAGATCCCTATGAGTTCGAGGCCACCCTGATGATCTACCTCGTGAGTTTCAGGACAGCCAGGCCTACACAGAGAAACCCTGTCTCAAAAAACAAAAGGGTGCGAGGGATGTAGTGGCCAGAGTTCAGATGGCCCACTTCCTTCCAAGCTTGGAAGCTTCGGCCAGCCCGCAGCTAGGCAAAACTGCCCACAACATGCCATCCGGTTAGGTACCAGATGTTCCAGGAACCACAAGGTTCTGATGAATTGGTAAGCCATGTTCTTTGAGCCACCAAACGTTCCTTACTCCTCACTTCCAACTCCACCAGAACCAGAGCATCAGCCCCAGGAGGCAAGAAACTAGATATAGCACTGCTGGGAGTGTAAGAAGGGCTGGGAGACCTCCCTCCCCCATGCAAAACCACCCCTCCTCCAAGAAGCCTCTCCCTCTTGGTTTCTTGGAGGGCCTCCACCCTGGGTCTGGCTATGCGGCCTGAAGGTGACTAGTACCTGGGGAGGAGCGTGGGCTCCCAGCTGAACAGGAGAGCCATTCATCCCAGGCCTGAGGAGCAGCCTCCCAGCTCCGGCTCCCCCCAAAATGGCTACTGGTTCTTGTGTGAGTCCCACCCACCCTCCATGCTCCAACCACTGCAGACACAGCTCTCAGCATCCACACAGACAGCCTTGGCCTGGGCTCAACTTGTCCATTGGGAAGGGGCCTCCTTTGGAGAAGTCCCAGTTAAACAGCAAAGGTCTTACTCCCCATTCACAGCTTATCTGAATATCATCCAGTCAGGCTATCACAGCCTGTGTATTCCCTGGAGAAGCCCTAAGGGAGGGGCTGTGCACTCCCCTTTTTCTAGCCCCAGAGGCTCAACAGATATTCCCCAGGGGTATAAAGCCACATGACACAGCTGTGCCCACCTCTTCATGAGAATGAGAGCCATGAGGCTTTCCAGCCTTAGAATTCTGAGTAGACTCTGCAGACACAACCAACAGTTCCATCACTGCCCAAGAAGAGGTGTGGGTGCAAAGGGCAGACAGACAACCTCCTTCCACACAGACTGCTGCCCTAACCCCCTCCCCCATTTAGAGTCAGAGAGAAGCTTGGTTAAGCCCCATCTCTGTATGACCATCTCGGGCACTGAGGTATCCTGTGATGCCTCCCCAGGCCCACAGGCTCTTTTCTGGGACTCACTCAGTCTTTGACCTAGTGCTCTCTTCCTTTGGGTCTGGGGATAAGGAATGGTGTAAGGCTGGCTCCTAACTGACCTCAGAGGATGCCAGATGCAGGCCTGAAGGGCTCATACTTTAGCAGGAAGGGGAGGGGTCTCCATTCTGGCACAACTGGGCAGGAGAACATGGAAGGTGCTGAGAAGCAGGTACCCAAGCCAGGTGACTTGGAGGACCTTCCAGAGGCCTAGGAGAAACCCAGGTCCTTGTCTCCCTAGCTTCTGGCCCCCTCCCTCTCCCTTACACAATAGCCAGGCGGCATAAGTCCCCATCAGGCTTTGTCTGGCCTGCTGAAGATGAGAATGGGGAGGCAGTTCCCTAGGAAGGCTCCTGGGGGAGCCCCATCCCCATGAGCCTCTTCAGTCTTGGGCGGGGCATGTCCCTGCCAGGAGACTAGTGACTCTCCGGCTCATCCCATCTGCTAGCTGCTTTTGCTCTGCCGGCTGCACTCTGGTCTAGTAGTCTGGGGTGAGCCTCCATCCCTGGCGAGGCTTGCCAAGGCCTTCTGATGACAGAACGGGGCCTTTTTTCTTTCTTCAAACACGGCCTAGCTTAAGCCACAGCGGACAGCCCCTTGGGTCACCCACTTCCACACCGCTGGTTTCATAACCCTCAGCTCCTTGGGGTTTTCACAGGTTACCCAGGCCAGCTTCCCAGTAGCCTGGCACTCTCATCTGGGTGGGGATCAGGCTAGCCCTTTGGAAGGCCACAAGCCTGGCTGTACCCAAGGTTTGGAGGACCAGTGCTGGGCACTGGGATGACTCAGATAGGGAGCCTTGGAAGTTCCAGGTCTTGGAAGAGGCTCTGCCAAAGACTAGTGAGCATGAATTTATGTGTGGGAGAGAAGAGCACAAAGGTGCATGGGCATGAAGTGGGGTAAGCCGAGGCTCCCCATGATGTGACTGGTGGACCACCGCCCTTTTCCCCATCCCCCATCCATTCCTGGCCTGTCAAAACTACAGCCTCACCCAGGACCCCCAGCACGTGACCTTCCGGTCAGGTTAAGGAGGGGATGCTGGCCCTGGACCAGAGGAGAGAGGCCCTCAACTCAGCCTCCCTTTCTGGGGAGGTTCCTAGGCCCCCGCTGTGCGGGTCAGGGAGCCAGACGCGGTGCCCACTCTTCCCCTCCGTAGCCCCAGGAGCGGCGGCAGACAATCGATTAACGCCACAGGGCTGGGTGACGGCCGGCGGGGGCGGGGTCACGCCTGGGCGCCACCAGCATCGGTGCCACAATGGGTGACAGCCGTTCGGGTCTCACCACTGACTGAGCGGCGCGGCTCCGGTACCTGTTTGTCCTCTGCATGGTCCAGGTCGTGGTCCGGGGCGGGGCGGGTACCGGAGAGTCCGGGCCGGCGGGCAGGGGAGAGACGGAGACAGACGGTGAGAGGCGGGCGGGCGGCGGGGACAAAGGCGCGCGCGGGCACGCGGACAGGCGCCGAGCTCACCTGGGGTCGCCAGCTTGCTCTTGTACCGCAGTCCTGTGCTCATGGTGGCCGCCGGCGGGGGACGTGTGGCGGCGGGCGCGCGGGCGGGGCTCGGCGACCAGCGGTGGAGGCCGAGGCCGGCTGTGGGGTGACCCGCCCCTCCGCGCCGCCACCACCCGCCCCGCCCGCGCGCCCGCCAGCCAATCGGCGCCCGCCGCGCCCACGCGCGACCCGGAGAGGCCGGTGGGGGCGGGGACTGAGGCGTCCCGCTGTGGTCCCCCCCCAGGCCTCTGGTTCTCTACGCTGCTTGAAGAGCAGCAGGGCTATTCCCACGGTCTTGTCCGGAACGACCCCTCCCCTTCCTGTTATCTAGCCCAGGCCTGGACTCTGCTCTCCCTGGCTGTCGCTGGAACCCGTTCTGTTCCTGGGCCTCTGAGCTTCCATCATTGTAGCCTTTCTATAAAACCTGTCCCCGGACTGGCTTCATGCAGCCGAGGCATGAGTTCAGGGGATATGGGTACCCGTCTTCACCCCATCGAGATGCACCTGGGAGCCCTGCTCTTGATACTTCTTGGGCAGAAGTCCAGAATCTGAGCTCTCCTGCAGTCTGCTGGCTACTAGGGAGGGGCCCTACGCTGGGCACACACACACCTGGGCAAGATGCAAAGCACATGGCAGGGTGTGACTGCATGGCCTCTTTTCCTGGACAGTAAAACGAGAGTACTTGAGGCGTGGGACCAGAAAGGCACAATCTGAAGGCCACATTAGCCCCTCCTTGCACCAGCTCTGGGGCCGGTTTTCTGTGATGTGTGCTCTCTCCAGCTACCTCCCTGGAGAGGAGTTGAAGGGGGCTGAGGGGCACCAGGAGGATCTTCAGTAAGTAGATGAAACTAAGTGACCCACGGTGTGAATGCCTCCCCACTTCTGTGTCACTGTCACATGCCCAGGTGCCTTTGGCCTGAACGCCAGCAGAGTGTCTTGACCGGTGTTGGGATGTTCCGTGGTCCCAACCTTTCATCCACAGCCCCAGGACCAGGTGCGGTGAGTACGTGACACACTGCAGTGCTTCTTTGGAATCCGGAGGGCACCCACGATCAAACAGTTTTGTAGTGAAACACTGGGCTAATGACTCCAGCAGGTGTCTACACATCTTTCAGGTTTGGCTTCACCATTGCCCTTTTTATGGAGTTTTGGGGAATTTGGCAGTCTGATAAAGGAATATGGGCAGCTTGGGGCAGGGGCAGGCAGACACACTCAAAATGACAAAACTTGTGAGCGTGGCACTTATCCGTTCTGAGTCTGGAGAAACCCAGGAAGGAATAGTAGGACAGTTAGCACGCGTGGCTGTCACTGTCACTCTGATGGCAGAAACAAAGAATCTTCCTTGGGGATCTGGTAGGAGGGTCACTTCCAGTGGCCTCCAGTTAGGGGGTAGCACTTGGGCTAGAGGGAGAGAGGCTTGTGTGTAGAAGAGGGATAGACAACACACTTCTGAAGAGCCTTGACACAAGGGTTTGACTAAAAAAAAAGAAAAAAAAAGATTAAGAAAAAGAAATACCAGTGAAACACTTGCGGAGCTGGGA